CCTATCATCCATCTGGCTCAGCTACTAACATCAAAAGCCATGTCGATCAGAGAGTACGACAGGGTCACGAATATTTTCACTTAACTCCCAGCAGAAAAGCAATTTTGAGGTCAGTCAGTGTACAATAACGCCAATTTCTGGCAAAATCAATCAAAAAACCTCACTGATTGACAAAAGAGCACCCAACAAATCAACGACGGAGCATTGCATGCCTTATCGACGTATTCTTTTAAAATTATCTGGCGAAGCCTTGATGGGTGAAGACCCTTTTGGCATTAACCCGACCGTGATCGAACGCATGGTCAGTGAAATAAAAGAAATTCACAATCTTGGAGTGCAAATTGCTATTGTCATTGGTGGTGGCAATATTTTTAGAGGGGTTGCAGGTGGCGCAGCAGGTATGGATCGCGCCACAGCAGATTATATGGGGATGTTAGCCACCATGATGAACGCACTGGCTTTACAAGACGCTTTTCGTGGCGCCAATGTAGAGGCACGAGTACAGTCAGCGTTACGAATGGATCAAGTTGTTGAACCATACATTCGTCCACGCGCCATGCGTCATCTTGAAGAAGGAAAAATCGTTATATTTGCTGCAGGGACTGGAAACCCGTTTTTTACTACCGATACAGCCGCTGCGTTGCGTGCCTCCGAAGTTGGTGCAGAAGTGGTACTTAAAGCAACGAAGGTAGATGGTATTTACGATAAAGACCCTGCAAAAAACACAGATGCAGCCCTTTATGAAACGGTCAGCTTTGATGAGGCAATTTCTAAAAACTTAGCCGTCATGGACGCAACCGCATTTGCTTTATGTCGCGATCAAAAAATGCCCATTCGGGTATTCTCGATCAATAAGCCAGGTGCTCTAAAGCGGGTTGTGATGGGTGAAAACGAAGGAACCTTAGTTACACTATCTTAACCAAACTCAAACGAATCATTAAGATAAAAACAGCGCGAGGATATTTATCATGAGTGTTATAGAAACGATAAAAGCTACTGAACAAAAAATGCAAAAAACGATTGCCGCATTTGTTGTTGATCTTGGAAAAATTCGCACAGGCCGTGCTCACGTCGGGCTGCTAGATCATATCCAAGTTGATTATTATGGTAACCCAACGCCCGTTAATCAAGTCGGCAATGTCACTTTGATCGATGGTCGTACCATTGGTGTACAGATTTGGGAAAAAAGTATGTTATCTGTCGTTGAAAAAGCAATCCGCGACGCTGACTTAGGCTTAAATCCTAATACCAATGGAGACATGGTACGTGTGCCCATGCCACCACTCACAGAAGAGCGACGTAAAGAGCTCGTTAAAGTTGTTAAAGCTGAAGGTGAAACAGCTAAAGTCGCTATCCGTAATGCGCGTCGTGATGGCAATGAACAGCTTAAAAAACAAGTTAAAGATAAAGTTATCAGCGAAGATGATGAACGACGTGGTCAAGATGAAATTCAGCGACACACGGATAAAGCGGTTGTTGAAATTGACCGATTAGTTCTTGAAAAAGAAAAAGAAATAATGACAGTGTAAGGGCATTTGTGACTCAATCATCTCAAAAAAACGTTCCGAGCACCCCTCGTCACATTGCTATTGTGATGGATGGAAATGGTCGTTGGGCAAAAATGCGAGGGCGCCCTCGTATGGTCGGACACCGCGCAGGACTTGGCGCCGTTAGACGTTCAGTACAATATTGTGTCAATCATGGTATTGGCTATTTGACTTTATTTGCTTTTAGCTCAGAAAATTGGGCGCGCCCCGAGCAAGAAGTGTCTTTTTTGAAAAAGCTATTCTACCGCGCATTAACTTTGGAGGTGAGCAAGCTCAAAGAAAACAATGTACGACTACGTTTAGTTGGAGATTTGTCTGCTTTCCCTCAGGACATTCAAATCATTGCGGAAAAAGCACAAGAGCAAACGGCTCATTGCACTGCACTGGTTTTGACCGTTGCCTTAAATTATGGTGGTCGCTGGGATATTGCACAGGCGGCGAAAAAAGCGATGATGATTACCAACCCCATTTCGAGCGTGACTGATTTTGAAAAAGCAATCAACGCCAATTTGGCACTAAATTATGCTCCAGATCCTGATTTATTTATCCGCACTGGTGGCGAGCAGCGTATTAGCAATTTTTTACTTTGGCAACTCGCGTATACCGAACTCTATTTCAGCCCGACCTATTGGCCTGATTACTCAGAAAGCGATTTTGACGAGGCTATTGCAGCTTTCCAAAATCGCGAGCGTCGATTTGGCAAAATAACAGATAATTAGTTGGCTTCAAATTAGCGATCTAGGCTGACAAGTTCATTGGATAATCATTTGGTTATCATTGCGATTTGATTATCGCCTGATAAAGACAAAAATAGTACTTGCGGCAACATTGGCAATGTAAGGCTTTCATCCTTTGTTTCAGTCTTGTTAAATATCCGCTATAATACATAGGCCTTCCACCTACAAGAGGTATTTTAATGCTCAAAACACGTATAGTGACTGCATTGTTGCTTGTATTAATCTTAATACCCCTGCTTTATTTTGCACCACTCAATATCATTCGGTTTGTAGCACTGGTCATTTTTTCTGTTGCCGCGTGGGAGTGGGCTCGCATCTCCGAATTTTCAAACTTACATTCAATTGGTTACGGTTTTTTCGTCTTTTTAGTTGGCGTATTAGTCAGTGTGCCTAGCATCAGCATATTGCTCGATATCCAAGGTGTTAACATTTTTATTTTACTGGCGTTATTCCTCTGGTTTACTTACGTTCCTATTCAGCTCATCTATGTCTCCAGCATCACAAAGCGTGACGGTGCACCTCCACCGCCTCTAAAGCTTTTTCAATTGGTTCTTGGCTGCATTTTTCTCATCGGTGCTTGGTTAAGTTTTGTTTTGCTACGTGGCATTGGCTTTTTTGTTCTCATGTCGGTACTATTTTTAGTATGGTTTGCCGATGTTTTCGCCTATTTTTTTGGCAAATACTTGGGACGAATCAAAGTCGCACCGTATGTTAGCCCCAACAAAACTCTAGAAGGTGTTGTTGGCGCATTGTTTGGCGGTGTTGCCTGTGTTTATCTTTTTATGACGTTACTAGAAATCCCTAATAACTACTTCTTCTTTTTGAGCAAAATGATTTCCGTCCAACAAATTTATTTGTTAGCACTTTGCTTAGTAACATTAGCCATTATGGGTGATTTGTACGAGTCCGCCTTGAAGCGGATGGGCGGTGTAAAAGATAGTAGCAACCTATTGCCAGGACATGGAGGTGTTTTAGACCGGATTGACGCGTTATTACCCGTTTTGCCTGCCGCCTATGTGGCCTACCTAGTTTCAGCCTATCTCCCTTAATTTACTTTCCGTTATTGGCAAATTACCGTGCAACAAACACAACTCGTTACAATTCTTGGTGCAACAGGCTCAATCGGACAAAGCACATTGTCCGTTATAGCTCAACACCCCGAAAAATTCCAAGTATTTGCCCTAACTGCTTACCATCAACTCGAAAAACTAGCGCAATTAACTCAACAATTTCGCCCTCACGTCGTCGTGCTTCGCGACCACCAGCAAATCGACGATTTTATTCAATATTGTCAATCTGTTGGCAGATTCATTCCTGAAATTTTGACAGGTGAAGAAGGGTTAATTAGCTGCGCCACAGATAAAAAGGTTGATATGGTTATGGCCGCTATTGTTGGTGCTGCAGGACTTGCACCAACGATTGCTGCTGCTCGAGCTGGTAAAAAAATCTTATTAGCCAACAAAGAATCTTTAGTCGTTGCTGGTCAATACTTGATGGACGCTGTCAAACATGGGGGAGGACTCCTTATTCCCGTTGACAGTGAACACAATGCCATTTTTCAAAGTTTACCGGAGCAAACCCGTCAGTATCATACTGACGAAATTGATGAAATTATTCTTACTGCATCTGGGGGGCCTTTCTTAAACACACCTATTGAGGAATTTGCGCACATTACTCCAGAGCAAGCCTGCAAGCACCCCAACTGGTCGATGGGGCGAAAAATTTCGGTTGATTCAGCTACGATGATGAATAAGGGTTTAGAATTAATCGAGGCTTTTTGGTTATTCGCTTGCCCATTAGATCGCTTAAAGGTCTTGATTCACCCCCAAAGCATTATTCACTCCATGGTGAGATATTGTGACGGTTCACTGCTAGCCCAATTGGGAAGTGCTGACATGAGGATTCCAATTGCTTATGCCATGGCTTACCCAAATCGCATTCCATCAGGCGCACAAGCACTTGATTTTACAAAACTTTCAAAACTAACTTTTTTTGAAGCTGATACAAAACGATTTCCCTGTTTAGCTTTAGCTTACCAAGCGCTAGCGGCACCTGATCATGCACCAACTATCTTAAATGCAGCTAACGAAGTTGCTGTAGCCACATTTTTAGATAGGCGCATCGCTTACCATCAAATTGCGCCAACCATTGAAAAAGCACTCAAGCATTTTTCTGGATATGCGGTTACTCAATTTCAAGACTTACTTGCCCTCGATGATGAAGTTAGAGCATTCACTCATCAAATGTTAAGAGAGGTGGCTGCTTGAATTTTATTTATTTCACGGTTGTTATCTGCATTTTAGTCTTTGTGCACGAATGGGGGCACTATCAGGTTGCCCGCCTGCTCAAAATCGGTGTACAGCGTTTTTCCATTGGTATGGGGAAGGTCATTTATCGCCATCGATCAACAAAAACAGGCGTTGAATGGGTCATTAGCTTACTACCTTTGGGTGGGTACGTTCTGTTCACGCACGACCCTGCAGTTGCTATTTCCGACCCAAGAAACGACCCAACCGAACAACTGATTGGTGATGAAAAATCACCTCAAAACCCTCTTAAACCGGGTGAAAAATATTTTACTGATGCCAAACCTTGGGAGCGGATTTTAGTAGCATTTGCAGGCCCTTTTGCCAACTTAGTGTTCGCCACCATTTTATTCACAGGCGTTGCATGGACTGATGGCCAGACCATCGTTCACAACCAAATTGCAGCGCCAGCAGTGCAATCATGGGCAGCGCAATTAGGTCTCAAAGCCAATGATGCTATTGCTGGTGTTGCTTGGCAAGAAGGACATATCAAACACCATAGGATTTTTACGACTTGGAATGACTGGCAAAACTGGCAAATCGACGTTCGAGAGGCATCATCTGTTAGCCATGTTAGTCTTGAGTTTTTGCGCCAGCGGCCTAATCAATCTCCCATCCTTCTTGAAGTGCCCATTGATTGGCAAAGGATCTTGCAACAGCCTTCACGTATGCCAGATGCTGTTTTGGGTATTCATCCTCGTATTGATGGTCTTAAAATTGAAAATTTTGACAAAAATAGCCCATTAAGACAAGCAGGCGCGAAAGTTGGTGATACAATTGCATTTATTCGTCAAGGTGATGAGGTGATTGTTGTTGACACGTTTGATAATTTAAAGTCTGCATTGGCAAAACGAACCCAAGTCGATGTTGGGCTAATACCTCTTTTGACAACTACCCGTCCAACGGTTACAGCTGCCGTATGGAAAACGGTTGTGTTGCAAAATCACAAATTAGGTGCTTATTTACAGCCCGTTGGCGGGACGCAAAAAAAAGCGCTCAGTTTAGGGATGGCGGCACAAGCAGGGTTAAAGCAAGTTCGGCTTCTTCTTCAAGAGGGAGTTGCACTTGTCAAGCGTGCCGTAACGCTCAATGTAGACAACAATGTTATCGGTGGCCCCATCACGATAGCCAAGGAAAGCGGTAAGGCTGCGCAATATGGTTTTGCAGGCTTTGTGGTATTTTTAGCAATGTTGAGTGTTTCTCTTGGTTTTATTAACTTATTGCCAATCCCTGTTTTAGATGGGGGGCAAATTTTGTTAAATACTCTGGAATGGATACGAGGTAAACCACTGTCAACTAAAATGACAGAATGGATTACTCGAATTGGGATGGCGATGGTTTTGATGATCATGACGTTTGCCATTATGAATGACGTCAGAATGCTTTTTGAAAAAAATTAATGGGTTAGCTATGACAGTATCGAGATTTAGTGGTTTAAAAGGAATGGCTTCGGCAACGGCTGTAACCGTGGCAGCAATTTTCGCACCAGCAGCGCTTGCCGTAAGCCCTTTTATTATTAAAGACATCAAAGTTGAAGGCTTACGTCGTGTCGAGCCTGGTACTGTTTTTGGCTATATGCCTGTTCGGATTGGTGATACCCTAGATAACACCAAGGCATCACAAACCGTAGATTCTTTATACCGCACTGGCTTTTTCCAAGATGTCCGTGTCGAGGCCAATGGAGATGTTTTGGTGGTTAGAGTCATAGAACGCCCGACCATAGGCGCCTTTAAACTTGAAGGTGTTGAAGATCTTAGCCGCGAAGAGTTAACACGTTCGCTCAAAAGTGTTGGTATCACTGAGGGACGCTTTTATGATAAAGCGTTAGCTAACCGTGCCGAACAAGAGCTCAAGCGAATTTACCTTTCGCGCGGTTACTACGCTGCAAATATTAAAGCAACGACCACCCCACAAGATCAAGATCGCATTAGTTTTGTGATTAATGTCACAGAAGGCCCTAAAGCAAAAATCCGTAAAATTAGCTTTACAGGCAATAAGGCATTTAGTGAGAGTACGCTTCGCAGCGAAATGCGTCTAGACACTCCCGGTTGGTTATCTTGGTACACAAAAGACGACTTGTACTCTAAAGACTTGTTTTCTTCAGACTTAGAAGCGGTTCGTGCCTTTTATTTAAATCAGGGTTATCTAGATTTTGATATTGAATCAACTAAAGTTGGTATTAGCCCAGACAAAAAAGATATTTATTTGACCGTTAACATTCATGAAGGCGTACCATATAAAATCACCAATGTCACGGTTAGCGGTGACACTCTTGGCAAAGAAACCGAGCTCAAAGAGACCATCACATTAAAACCTGGCGAGTTATTTTCCAGCGAAAAACTTGGTGAAACATCACGTGCTATGACTAATGTTATGGGACGTTATGGTTATGCATTTGCCACTGTTGAACCTGTTCCCGTTGTTAATGCAGAAAAACAAGAGGTGGCTCTCGATTTAAAGGTCGTTCCTGGTCAACGTGTTTATGTCCGTAAAATCAATATTTCTGGCAACGAAAAAACCCGCGATGAGGTCATTCGCCGTGAAATGCGCCAGCTTGAATCGGCCTGGTTTGATGGTGACAAAATGTCACTCTCTAAAGCACGAATTGCAAGAACGGGATACTTTGAAGATGTCAAGCTTACCACAGATGCTGTTGCTGGTTCTAATGACCAAATCGATGTTGCTGTGAACGTCAAAGAAAAACCGACGGGATTATTTAATATTGGCGTTGGCTACTCAACAACAGACAAATTCGTTTTTCAGACATCGGTTAATCAAGATAATGTGTTTGGTACTGGAACCAATGTTGGTATAGACTTAAACACCAGCAAGACTAACCGTACCATTGCGATTCGTCATACTGACCCTTATTTCACCATTGATGGTGTATCGCGTTTGACCGACCTATACTACCGCACCTCCACACCTCAAGGCAACTCTTCCGTCGATGAAGATAAACAATACAAAATTGTCACTGCGGGTGGCAGCATGAAATTTGGTGTGCCGTTCTCAGAACAAGATGTCGTTTATTTTGGTGCAGGCGTTGAGCACATTAATTTAAAAAACATTGACAAAACAGGCAGCTATGCCTATCAGCAACATTTAAAATACTTTGGTAAAGCGTCTACAGCGTTCCCTTTAACTGTCGGCTGGGCACGCGACTCTAGGGACAGTGCACTTGTTCCTAGCGAAGGGACTTTGCAGCAAGCCAACCTTGAAGTCACGATCCCTGCGGGTAGAGTTAAATATGGTCGTGCAGACTACCAAATTAGCCATTACATTCCGTTTCTCAAAGGGTTTACGTTGGCTTTAAATGGTGCCATAACCTATGGTCGCGGCTACGGCGGTAAGCCTTACCCGATTTTCAAAAACCAATATAGTGGTGGCATTGGCTCAGTTAGGGGTTTTGGAACCAGCTCTTTGGGGCCGCTGTCTGAACCTTATTGCCAAGCAACAGGTCGAACCGATGATTTAGAAAACTGTATTGCGTCTGATGGAAAATGGCACGAGCATCGTCATCCAAATGCTTCATGACTTGCGAGTAGATAACACTTGGCTTGTCACTCGTCTTCACCGCAACAAGCGTCAAGTGTCAAGACAAATGCCGTGTCTCATGGAGACA